TCAGAAGTTTGCATGCATTCATCATAGGAATGAATGTCATGGTCTCTTTCAAACATTTGCTTTGGTGTCTCACTATGGGGAATGCTCTCTCGGTCCTCAGAAGCCTCGATGTCATTACTCCAGCCAGCATTGACTGGCAGTCGTGACGCCTGCATCAGGGAGGTGCCGCCCTCCTCCCTATAAAAGGATGTGACGCAGCGTCATTCAAATTCCTCTTCTCACTTCTTAGAAGCCTCATCTCTCCTGACTGCTAACGTGAGTGCTAGCTTAACAGTCTATTCAAGTAAGCTAATAGCTTGGTCACTGGGCGCTAGCACGACTCACGTTTTTAGTTTGCCTACTTTTCACCATAAAGCCAAGTTGGAGAGCGCGTTAGCTTCCACCGTGCCCCACACTAGGGGTCATGCTTTAAAGACCACAGCACAGATTTCCACTCGTCTAATGTCCACTCCTTGTGTTTCTTGGCCCATAGAAATCTCTTCTGCTTGTTGCTTTTCCTTAGTCGTGGTTTCTTAGCAGCTATTTGACCATAAAGGCCTGATTCACACACTCTGAACAGTTGATGTAGAGATGTGTCTGCTACTGGAGCTCTGTGTGGCATCTATCTGGGCTCTAATCTGAGGTTAACTTGTGATTTCTGAGGCTGGTGTCTCAGATGAATTTATCCTCAGCAGCAGAGGCGACACTTGGGCTTCCTATTCTGGGGGTCATCCAGCTGCCATGCAGACATTTAAAAATCCCTCGCTGCCGAGTTCCTCTGGAATTGCAGAACCCTAAGACCCACTGGCCTAGGAAGCACATCCTGCCTGCTGTTCAGACCACAAGAAGAAACTGACCACCTAACATCCCCCATGGATGAGCTGGACCAGCACATGCTTTGTGTTCCCATTAGGACCCAGTTCCAGAGCCCATTTGAAGAAGTGTGTTCTGCCTGGGACCCAATTTTAGATCACGCAGTGCACACTCCAATAAAGAGACGACAAGATGCTTTTCAGCTGAGTCAAGGGTGTCACAGTCTCACTAGCACACACAGTTTATTAAAAACTCATCGAGTGCATCCAGGCATGTTGCTGAGGGCACAGGAAAAGTTTGTGAAAAACAGAAAACATGTTGAAAAACATATTGCCCTCACACACAAACACCACTGGGGTCCATTTCCTTGTGGTACCCAGCCCCATGAATGCTGGGCAAAAACAGGCCAGGGTTGCAGAACC